TGCTTATATATTTTCCATTTAGAATGACAAGGTTCATTATGAAGATGAAGATGAAGCTCCTGGCATATTTTTGTGCAACTCTTCTTACGGGATCTTTTATGATTTTCTGGAGAATCACACACTCAATTTATGGACCACAAGTGAGAAAAGAGTAAGTATAAAGGAGAGAAAAACTTCAGACTTTACAAAGCAAGATTAAGAGGAAGAGTGAGAAAAACATGACTGTTTGTTTGCTTGTTCACAGCTTGATGTGACATGACCTGATAAAGAGCAAGGACCCCATGTTGCCAGAATCACCTAAAGTAGAAAGGCGGCACCCCACTCGCAACCATATCTGTGGAAAATATCTTAAAGAAAATAAAGCAAACTCTCTCTGATGAGCACCTCCAACTGATGTGTCAGATGTACCACTCCATTACTGTGACTGAGGTTGTTCTGTTTTTCTTTCATCCCACCACAATAGAGTGAGTAATCAGCTCCTCTCCGTGCTCTGTGCGGAGACCCCCGCCAGGTCTCTGATCCACCAACAGATATCAGTGTCTCATAATGGATTAAAATAGGGATAGAATAAATGGATATTATATCAAAGAGTGCATATGTCTGGCTGCTTCTTCTGTTTCTGCAGCGAATACATGATCAAAACAACGGAGACGAAGTAATAATAGTTCTGAAGTGTGTCGGAATCCAAGCCGTGGTGGAATGTGTTTGCTTCAGCTGCTGGGATGTACATTGGCATGGGTGTCTGATTTTATTTACCCAACTGTGCCCCAGTAAGACTGTGCAATTGATATTGGCAGTCATTTGTTTGCGCGAATGAACGATAAAAAACAATAAAATAAGTGTTCATCTTTGGCTTTTTAGCATATTAAATGGTGGCTTTAGTCTAGTAGGTCTTTTAATGTGTTACTTTAAAACAACGCTGCCACTGTTGTCTAATCTCTCGTGGAAAGTTAATAAGACAAACTGTATAAATCGTGCCATGGAATCCTCCCGAGGCGCCTAGACAGGCTCTCCTCAGATGTAAAATTGTAAGTTGATACACGCAGTTGTAATACGGAAAGGCAAAGCAAGACATTTTCCTTATGTGATGGCTAATTTGTGCCTCCAAGGAACCTGATTAAAAACTGACATGGATCTGATTGCTCTGCCATCCTGAGGTATCACTGCCAACGTTGTCGCTCTGCTTCTTTTTGCTTTTTTTTATTCAATCCACACCTCCGCCCTCCTCCACTGCTTCTCTCTCTCACACTTCTTTAAACCAGCCTTGGCTGAAGCGACCGTGTGAGCAGTGAATCCATTACCCGAGCGACAGCTCAATTCAATTATTAGACGGGCTAATAATCTGACTGAATTGATTGTTCACTATATCCTCAGCCAAATGGCTGATGGAGAGAGGATCATGTTTGAGATTTCTTGCCGTAACGACATGAATAGAGCATATGCTGAAAATTACCAGGAGCTGCTTTTAATGAACACAACACAACACTTCCTCAATCTGAGACTGTGGGACCTGAAGTCATAAACATGCCTAAGGAAATCAGTTTTTTTTTGCAAACTATCAGTTGTCTTCTTTTACTACATTTGTGTTGCAAAAACAACACTGAACAGAGAGAAGAAAATTATTTTCATCTCATTAAACTCTCCATCTAAATGGAGTGTTTTGCATTCATAGATTTCAAATGGGATTCTGAACAGCGATAGAGAAAAAGAGACTTCCCTGCCTCAACCTTAAGCCACAAACGGAAAAGAAGTGGGTCAAACTGAATTTTCAGTAGAATACCAATTTCAATCAACAAAGCACAATGGTAAGGGTAGACTTTCCAATTAGCAGAGCAGTAATGGATACCATAATTATAGACCTAACCTACAATTAAGCTATGACATGATGACCAGAGTAATGGTCTTACAACGAAATGACGTATTTCCAAAATGAGTCAGCTGTGATTGTATGTGCGCAACAATGTATTTCACCTTAAAAACTGTTTTACTCTAAAAGATAAAGTCAACTTTGAAACAGGGGAAAATGGGGAGTTTTGTAACAGTTGTAACTCACCTATACCTTCAAAATACAGCATGGCTTTGAGTACCTTATTGCTTATATAAAATTGTTACAGCATATTGAAAAAAAAAAAGTGAACAGATTTTTATTAAAACATCATCATCATCATCATCATCATCATCATCATTTATTAATTAGGGACTGTGCAAATATATGGTTAACAGGTGCTTCTGTCAGAGCTGTTACACTATTTTGCATCATAGAACAGCTTTAACATTGTATTGACCAATCAGAAGTCACAACTATAACTATTTATAGTATACTATTTATTTTGTATTATTTGATAACATTCAAAGCATTTCACAGAGGCATGTATGTTAAAAGCATACCAATAATAAAAAAAATATTTATATTTAAAATATATTTGATCAAATGTATTTATTTATTTTAATTAGGATGGAGGACTTGATTAATTTATAACTTAAAAGTAAAACTGATCAACACAATAAATCCACCCACAACTTTGCTATATATATATATATATATATATATTGTGTGTGTGTGTGTGTGTGTGTGTGTGTGTATGTGTGTGTGTGTGTGTGTGTGTGTGATAATAATAATAATAATAATAATAATAATAATAATCTTAAATATAATAATTTAATAATCATTTTAGATGTTTAATTACCTTTATGTGTACAGTTTTCTGAGAGGAGTACCTTTTCTCTGCTCGCTTCTCACGCTGACTGTCATAATACGCAAAAAGGCACTTCTGACTGCGTGATCCCGATAAATATACATAGGCCTATACACAGAATTACAGTATTTAAGTATTCACGCAAACATCATCTGTGATGTCTTAAGTGAACGTTTGGGGAACTGTTTGGGTAAAACATCTGATGTGTAACATTATATTAGATCCGTCACCCGTGCATTAAAATAGGTCTTAAAGGGGTCATAGGATGCTATATGCACTTTTACAAGTTGTTTGAACATAAATGTGTGTTGGCAGTGTGTGTACACAACCACCCTATAATAATAAAAATCCCCCCAGTGTTTTTTTTTTTTTATCTTGTTAAATGTTTTCCCCTTTCTCAAATCGAGCCGATCTCAGATGCCTGTCTGTGTGACGTCACACAGACAGGCCCCTCCCACGATAGTTTGATTGGCAGTAGCGTTTCAGCACAGACTGGACTTGCGTCTTACCTTAGACCCGCCTGAGTGAGCTGTCATCAGTCCGCCATTGTTTCACCGCCGGAGCAGATGTACACAAGAATGACTCCTGAGCGATTGAGGTGTTTTGTTGTTGATGTAATAATGAACAGCAGTCGTCATTTACTCCTGACATCTGAGCCGCTGAACTTGCAGTGGATTAAGTTTGTTTTTGAAGGGAATGCTCCCCCGATCTGCCTAAATGCGTCTATGTTCGCGCAAATTATTCATGATCCAGCCTCATCTACAGAAGAAGTGAGTATAATGTTTTGTAATGAATCTTTGCAAATCGCTTTTCCTAATAATGTGCTAATTAGCAAGTTTCACGATGAATGCGGCTAAAGTAAACTGTCTCTCTGAGAGCAGCTCGGAAGAGAGGGGCGGGGTCAGCAGAGCTCATTAACATTTAAAGGGAAATGCTACAAAAACGGCTTGATCTGAAAAGAGCTGTTTTTGACAGGGTAAAAAAGGTGTTTTTTACACTACCATTGAGAAGTTTTAACCAAACTATGTTACAGACTTTTCATTAAGACCCTAAAGAATCATATCAACTTGTGGAAAATGGGCATCCTATGACCCCTTTAATATAGGCCGCCTCATTAATGTTAATCTAACAATAAAATAAAAGAGGGAATCACTGCTCTTGATTGGACTGCTTTTTGTAGTTTTAATAGTCAATTTATTTGTAATGAACAGAACAGACAAATTTTTTTAAATATATTTGATTATTTGTTTTTATTATAATGCTTTTGTTTAGATGTAAAATGAAAAAGGTAATGCACTAATTGTTTATTTCTTATATTTGTTCTACTGTGTTTTTTTGTTTTGTTTTGTGTTTTTTTTTTTGCATTTGTTCTTATTTACAAAGATACAATAAAAAAAATAGCTATATTGTGACGAAAGAAGTGGAGGAAAAGATGCAACGTTGCTCTGTGATTTTGCTTTGGAACCTTCAGAAAACCAATCGTCACTACGTCACTGAACTCACGAGACATAATAGACCCCCTAGATTTAAACAAAGACTAGGCCTATAGAACACCCTTATGTTAATATGCCTTAAAGGGACTTTGATTTAAATCAGCACAGCCAGCGAAGGATCGAACGCAACTGTTTTGAATGAGCGCACCTTTTTTTAAGAACCAAAACATGGCTGTTTCGTTGATGGGGTGACGCGAAATTAAAACGTTTTTCAGGAGTCGCAGCAGAGGCGGCGCAACTATAACGACTTGTGAATAATAGCGCCCACTCTAAAGGTACTAAACTGCAGTGGAAACGCAAACCGAGCCGAGAAAAGCGCCATAAATAAACTACTAAAAAAAGTACCAGGTACCAGGTACTGTCCCCAGTGGAAACCCCCCCAAAAATGAACCGTACCGTGCCGTACCATGCAGTGGAAAAGCGCCATTAGAGTAAAGACGTGCGATTAAATTGTGAATTCGCAAACGATCTTTATTCGTTTTATTAGCTCGATTTCTCAAAAAGAATTGTGCCACTTTTTACAATATATATAGCCTATATGAAGAGTTCAGATGCAAAAGCCTCTAATGCTGTATGAAATCTTCATTTAAATGAGCATTTGTATAAGGCTCCTATGTGTAGGTTCAGTAATTTTTACTCTAATGGCAATGTATAGGTAATTTTCTATGCAATTAAAGTGAAATAACTGAACATAAATATAGGAGACTGATAAAAAATGCTCATTTTAGAAGACAATTTCAGATGGCTCTTAGAGGCTTTTGCTTTAGAGGCCGGTTTAACAGTTGCGTTGGCCGCTCGCTTCAGATGGGACCGCACGCAGGAAGATTGAGAAACTGCTTCCATCTGGAAACGCAGGGAGAGAAGGAGGGTTGACTCGACACAGTCACCGGCGGTAAGACACACACATCCTTCTTGCGATACATCGCACCGGTTATCATCATTCCGACTGTTGGAGGAGCAGAGCGAACGTGCGCGCAGAGCAGCTGCACCTGACTGATCGTGGACATACCTCAGTTTTATTTCACCAGTCTTCATTTAACAGTTGCCTTCGGTTCTTTCTTGAAGAAGGAAGAGAGAGGGGAAAAATAAGTAAATCAAGCGGGTCTTTATGTTTTGCTTCAATCCTGGGAGAGGACTTTGGCAAGGAGGACCAATGCGTCTGGAGTGCTAATACACAGACTGCTCTTGTTGGATGTTGATTGTTGGTCAGAGAGAAGAAGTGGTAGCGTTTAGCCGCTGTTGGGACCATCACTGGACAACCGGTGTCGTCTTTGAAAGTGTTCGAAGGTAGGAAGTGATGCTGCTGTTTACGACTGAAATGCGCATCATATCAACGCTGGTCTGCAAAAAGCTGTTTTCTGAGGAATGAAGAGGACAGGTCAGCCGTTCTCACCAAAGGTTTTCTCCACGCCTCAGCAGACAGCTCTCTTGCAGTGACTGCACACCTATTGTAAACCATGCACACTTAGTCTGTAGTAAATGCGAGCGCCTCAGATGACATTCAGAGGAGCGATTTGCTTTCGTGGACAGTTTTTTGGACCATGGAGCTCTTGCTCATGGCTCAGTGAGTAGCTCAACTTTTAATTTTGAGTTGCTCTTCACGATCGTGAGCACGACGTGGTGGAGATGCATTGCGTTCCACTGAGCCTGAGGAGGGGGAAAAGGTCACGAAGTGGAGTTTAATATATAT